AAAACCCCATCAGAACGGACTTAAAACCCCCAAAACATACCATATATACAATATATACATATACACACATACATAAACGTATATATATATACACAAGCACACACAAATATACACACACATACATATACATACACACATATATACACATAAATATGCATACAGACAAGCACACACATATACAAAATATAGATATATAAATATAAATATATACACAGTTATATACTCATATATACACACATATATACACCCCCCACACACATATATATGCAAACACACATATATACACATATACACAAATATATACACACATATATACTCATACACACACACACATATATGCAAACACACATATATACACATATACACAAATATATACACACATATATACTCATATACACACACACATATATATGCAAACACACATATATACACATATATATGTGTGTATATATTTGTGTATATATACACAAATATATACACACATATATACTCATATATACACACACACATATATATGCAAACACACTTATATACACATATACACAAATATATACACACATATAAACATGTATATACACACAAAAAACACATATATACAGACAGGGCCACAGCAACACGTGGCAGGGGACAGTCAGTCTATATAAATAAAAATGTAATGTTTGTTTGTAGGATTAACATAACGCAAAAACCATTAGACAAATTGACACCAAATTTGGAGACAAGACACCTATCATGCCAACAAGTGACCATCACTCATAAAAACACTGAAAACACAGCATAAGACATTACAATGCATGCACAAAACCACATATGCACACACACACACATATGTGGGGAATGAAGCATTGCTAGCCAAGCAGTGACACAAGTGGGGTTAACTATAGACCCATGTCTAGCTCAGGACAAGGTATTTTCAGACGTTCCTGTCAGAAATATTAAAAATTAATATTGTGGAAGAAGGGCCTCAGTGTGCTTGTAGGCCTCAGTATGAGAAGGCCTCAGTGTTAGTTCACCTCAGTGTGAGAAGGCCTCAGTGGGATAAAGGCCTCAGTGTGAGGTAGGCTTAAGACAAGGTAGCTTCAGAAGTTCCTGTTAGAAATATTAAAAATTAACTAGGTATTTTTAGTTACAAAAACGTGAGTCAAGCACTGAAAAGGTTAAATAGATGCAATGACTCAACAAAAGCTGCAGTTCAATATAAGCAGGTGTTCCTGTAGCTTAGTGGCCCTCAGTCTGTGTAAGGTCTCTGTGGGAGAAGGGCCTCAGTGTGTTAGTAGGCCTCAGTATGAGAAGGCCTCAGTGTTAGTTCACCTCAGTGTGAGAAGGCCTCAGTGTTAGTTCACCTCAGTGTGAGAAGGCCTCAGTGTTAGTTCACCTCAGTGTGAGAAGGCCTCAGTGTTAGTTCACCTCAGTGTGAGAAGGCCTCAGTGGGATAAAGGCCTCAGTGTGAGGTAGGCTTAAGACAAGGTTGCTTCAGAAGTTCCTGTCAAAAATATTAAAAATTAACTAGGTATTTTTAGATACAAAAACCTGAGTCAAGCACTGAAAAGGTTAAAAGGATGCAATGACTCAACAAAAGCTGCAGTTCAATATAAGCAGGTGTTCCTGTAGCTTAGTGGCCCTCAGTCTGTGTAAGGTCTCTGTGGGAGAAGGGCCTCAGTGTGTTAGTAGGCCTCAGTATGAGAAGGCCTCAGTGTTAGTTCACCTCAGTGTGAGAAGGCCTCAGTGTTAGTTCACCTCAGTGTGAGAAGGCCTCAGTGTTAGTTCACCTCAGTGTGAGAAGGCCTCAGTGTTAGTTCACCTCAGTGTGAGAAGGCCTCAGTGTTAGTTCACCTCAGTGTGAGAAGGCCTCAGTGTTAGTTCACCTCAGTGTGAGAAGGCCTCAGTGGGATAAAGGCCTCAGTGTGAGGTAGGCTTAAGACAAGGTTGCTTCAGAAGTTCCTGTCAAAAATATTAAAAATTAACTAGGTATTTTTAGATACAAAAACCTGAGTCAAGCACTGAAAAGGTTAAAAGGATGCAATGACTCAACAAAAGCTGCAGTTCAATCAATATAAGCAAGTGTGTTTGTAGCTTAGTAGTCCTTAGCCTGTGGGAGGTCTCTGTGGGAGAAGGGCCTCAGTGTGTTAGTAGGCCTCGGTATTATTATTATTATTATTATTATTTTTATTATTATACTTTATTTATACCTCGCCACCATCTCCCCTCAGGGACTCGGGGCGGCTAACATGAGGCCAAGCCCAGCAAATACAATAAACAAAACAAAATACATAAAACAAATAATCAAACCAAGTACAAACAATAAAAGAAAAATAATACAGTCGGATGAAATCAGTTAAAAACAGCAACAAGGAATTGGACAAAATGGGCTGGGCCAAACAAAGGGATAAAAACAGAGAACTCTGGGTGAGATATGGAAACGGAGTAAGAGGTACGGATGAGTCGAACGACGGGGTTTAATTTTCCACTAAGGGATGAGGTAAAGTTCATCAAGAAGACAAGTTTATGCTGGGACGGTCATGGAATGGGGGTTTGTTGTTCATTCCTGAAAAGCTCGGAGGAACAGCCAAGTTTTCAGGCTTTTCCTGAAAGGTGTGTGCTTGCCTAATCTCCCCAGGAAGTGAGTTCCAAAGCCGGGGGGGGGGGGGGCACCACCGAGAAGGCTCTCTCCTTCGTCCCCACAAGTCGTACTTGCGACGGGGGTGGCAGCGACAGGAGGGCCTCCTCGGAGGATAGAAGAGATCGTGTGTAATGATTCTTACCTAATAGGCTAGAATAGAAGCCTGGGAAGACAGTAGGGCAAACCTCCATTTTGAGAGTGTCTGCCAGTAAAGCAGCCATCTTGAGGGAGGATAGATAGAAGATGGGAGGAGTTGGAGGTCTCCTGGGATTGGCTAGAGCAGAGGAGGAGGAGCCAAGTCTTGGGAGGGAAAAAGATTTCAGCTTCTGAGAGAGAGGAGATTTGGGAACTGAAGGGAGAAGAAGTGGTTTGGAGACTGGGTTTTTTCTGAGAGAGAGCATTTGGGTCAGGCAGGGCTGGATAGCTGACAAGAAAGGTCAAGCAGCATCCCGATTACTTGTGGGAGACAGCACAAGGGATTTGCTCTCTAGTTTGAGTAAGTTAGCTGTAAAGGACTCTGGGGAGAATTAGCTGATTACTCAGAAGACAGCCTGGGTTAGGTTAGTCAATAACTCATTGCTATTTCGCTAAAGTAGAGTGAGGGTTTTTTGTTTTTTTGTATCCAGTAGCTATATCTGTGAGATTAGCTCTGTTTGGAACCAAGCCAAGAAACTCTTTTTAAGCAACCATTAAGATATTTTGCTATAGTAACAAGACAAGCGTTGGTGCCTCTCAAAAGAAGAAATCAGTTGTCTGTTTGGTTTTTTTTATAAATAAATCTTTTCTCTGTTTGACTTTTAAGAAGCCTCTATCATTACTCATTTTACCAGTAATCCTTGAGTAGAAAGTTCAACATCCTGATACCACTGAAAGAACTCTAACCCTGACAATCTTTTGCTTTGGAGTTAAAGGGAGGGCAGTAGTGGCAGAAGAGGGAAAAGTTTACCTCAGAGCGGCATTTTAAAACTCCTAAGGCAGCTTGGGTTGGTGGCAGCATATAAAAAGAAGACAAATACTACAAACTATACCATTACATATGATATATAACACCATCTCGCTACCCTAATATTGTCCAGCGGCGGCTAAGATCCCTTACATTGGTGTTCAGCTGGGGGATATATTATAGTATCTGATTTATAATAAGATATATTATGCGCTTCCTTACCGTGCAAGTTTGTAGTAGGAGATGCGATCGTGAAGGCCTCAGTGTTAGTTTGCCTCAGTACAAGAAGGCCTCAGTGTTAGTTTGCCTCAGTGTGAGAAGGCCTCAGTGTGAGTAGGCCTGGTGCTAGAAGGCTTCGGAGAGAGAAGCCCCAGGTTGAAGGCCTTGTGTGTAAAGCTCCAGTGTGAAGGCTGCTGTGCGTAAAAGGATACTGTGTGAAGCTCCTGTATAAGTTTAGTGTGAGAAGAGGCTCTGTGAGAGCAAAGCTATTTATTTGAGAACACAGAAACTCTCACAACCACCATGTCAGACAACACAGAGTAGCCATTGAAATACACAAGCATGTGGACAATTTCAACAGAAAGGAGGAAACCATGAAAATGAACAAAATCTGGCTACAAGTATTAAAAAACTCTAAAATTACAACAGCACAACAACAGAGAGAAAACAAACAAGGACATCTAATCACCTCTCAACAAAAGTTTGCTCTAGGCACTGTCAGGCCATTATATGATAATCAAGGAGATCAGTTGAAACATTCACACCTAGCTCTAGCAGGCAAGAGTCTTTTGTCCCACCCTGGTCATTCCACAGATATATAAACCCTTTTTCCTAGTTCCAACAGACCTCACTACCTCTGAGGATGCTTGCCATAGATGCAGGCGAAACGTCAGGAGAGAATGCCTCTAGACCATGGCCATATAGCCCGAAAAAACCTACAACAACCCAGTGATTCTGGTCTTGAAAGCCTTCGACAATACATCAAAGCTGTTTATCTGCGTGAGAAAGAAGCCCAGCGTGGAAGCAAAGAAGGAAGTATAAATAACTTTGTTCGTGTTATGGAAACCTTGTAAACAGTACAACCATATTATTTTGCTATAAAGAAAAGCCTAAGGAAGAGATCACATTGGTCTGTATGCTTTTCTTCTTTTTCTCACTTTGGGCTCCTGGTCCTGGGTCATGCTGATGCTGATACGTTACTCTGCTGTGCATTGATGAGGAGGGTCTTTTGTTAATTAGCCCACTAGCCCAAAAGTTCCTATGTCTTTTAAGAAAAGAGCAGCACACAGCCTGAAGGTGAGAAAGACACTATGTTTGAACAAAAAATCAGCAAAAACAATTATTAGCATGTGCCTTCTTGAGTAAACCTTTCCAGTGTAAAATGGGAGTTTCCCAATCTACTTTCCTCTCCATCCGCCCTTTCCAAAAGTTACTTACATCGATGTTCTGTATTTAATGTCATCCTTCTCAGCCAGCTGTTCACAGGTAAGGTTCATGTGCTCTTTCCACAGGCCTTGGCACTTTCTGCAGGTTTCCTGGAAAAGAGAGAGAGACAGTAAGCATCAGAAGGATACAACACACACCTTTGGGTGTCACGCTCCCCTCACAAATATTCTGCCCTTTGAGTTGCTGTGAGTCTTTTGGGCTGTATGGCCATGTTCCAGTAGTATTCTCTCTTGATGTTTCGCCTGCATCTGTGGCAATCATCCTCAGAGGTCTGTTGGAAATGAGGCAAGTATGTTTGTGTGTGTGTGTGTGTGTGTGTCTGTCTGTCTGTCTATCTATGGAATGTCCAGGGTGGGAGAAAGAAACTTTGTCTGTTTGAAGCAAGTGTGAATGTTGCAATTAGCCAGCTTGAGTACTACTGAGTAGCTTTGCATCTGCAAAGCCTGGCTGTTATTGCTTGGGGGCATCCTTTGTTTGGGAGGTGTAGTCTGACAGCCATCATGTCAGACAACACAGGGAAGCTACTGAAATCCACAAGCAGGTGGACAATTTCAACAGAAAGGAGAAAATTATGAAAATGAGCAAAATCTGGCTACCAGTATTAAAAACACAAGAATCAAGACAGTCTGGAATTCAGGGTAATTCCAGACAGTAAACAACCAAGTGCAAGTTAACACCTCTCAAACAAAAGATGTCCCCAGTCTTAATGAATGACAACTCCCATCAGTTGGGGACATAAGTTGAGTAAAAACTAAAGAGCACTGCCCACTATTGATTAGCTTGATTAGCACTGAGTGGCCCTGCAGCTGCAAAGCCTGGCTGTTACTGCCCAGGGGGCATACTTTGTTTGGGAGGTGTAGTTTGATAGCCATCATGTCAGATGACACAGAGAAGCCACTGAAACCCACAAGCAGGTGGACAATTTCAACAGAAAGGAGGAAACCATGAAAATGAGCAAAATCTGGCTACCAGTATTAAAAAACACAGGAATCAATTCAGGGTAATTCCAGACAGTAAACAACCAAGTGCCAGTTAACACCTCCCACACAAAAGATGTTCCCTGTCTTAATGAATGACAACTCCCATCAGTTGGGGACACAAGTTGGGTAAAAGCTATTGATTAGCAGTGAGTGGCCTCGCAGCTGCAAAGCCTGGCTGTTATTGTCTGGAAGCATCCTTTGTATGGGAGGTGTTAACTGGCACTTGATTGTTTACTCTCTGGAATTACCCTTAATTCCAGACTGTCCTGATTTTAGAGTTTTTTTAAATACTGGTAGCCAGATTTTGTTCATTTTCATGGTTTCCTGCTTTCTGTCGAAGTTGTCCACCTGCTTGTAGATTTCAATGGCTTCTCTGTGTAGGCTGACATGATGGTTTTCAGACTACACCTCCCAAACAAAGGATGCCTCTGGGCAATAACAGCCAGGCTTTACAGGTGCAAGGCCACTCAATGGTAATCAAGCTAATCAACAGTGGTCAATGCTCTTTAGTTTTTACTCAACGTTCCCCAGCTGATGGGAGTTGTCATTCTTTGAGACTGGGGACATCCTTTGTTTGAGAGGTGTTAACTGGCACTTGGTTGTTTACTGTCTGGAATTACCCTGAATTCCGGACTGTCCTGATTTTATAGTTTTGTTTTTTTTTAATACTGGGAACCAGATCGTGTTCATTTTCATGGTTTCCTCCTTTCTATTGAAGTTGTCCACCTGCTTGTGGATTTCAGTGGCTTCTCTGTGTAGTCTGACATGATGGTTGTCAGACTACAATGGCTTCAAACTACAAGAAAGGAGATTCCATCTGAACATTAGGAAGAACTTCCTGACTGTGAGTGCTGTTCAGCAGTGGAACTCTCTGCCCCAGAGTGTGGTGGAGGCTCCTTCTTTGGAGGCTTTTAAGCAGAGGCTGGATGGCCATCTGTCAGGGGTGCTTTGAATGCAATATTTCTGCTTCTTGGCAGAATGGGGTTGGACTGGATGGTCCATGAGGTCTCTTTCAACTCTATGATTCTATACCTCCCAAACAAAGGATGCTAATCAAGCTAATCAATAGTGGTCAGTGCTCTTTGGTTTTTACCCAACTTGTGTCCCCAAGTTCTAATGAATGACAAACTTCATCAGTTCTGATTATTCTCCATGCAGACTGTGGATAATGGGAATTGAAATCCAACAACACTTGTGGATATCAGGTTGGGGAAAGGTTAAAGGACATTATATGCACAAGTCTTGTATCTAAATTCAAATCCCATTCTCCAGACTGAACAGAAGACACTGCAACCTTCCAGATGTGACTGTATCACAACTCCCATCTGTTCTAGTCATGTTTAAATGATGAGGAATGCAGGAATTGTAGTCCAGCATCCAGAGGGCTACATAAAATGATATGGTCCACGAGCCTTGATTTTCACACATGTGCTGTATTGCCTTCAAATGGTTTTGTAGGTTGTGCAACATGCATATATATGAGTGTGTGTGTGTCTTCATGTTGTACCAAAGTGAACATATCAAAATAAATGGGGAGAGAAGACTGTGCGAAACCAACAAAGCCACAAAGAAATAAGATGCTCATTTCCTGGTTGATGTGTTAGCTTAAACCACAAGGCTTCCATATATGGCTGAAGGAGACAGGAAATGGCAAGCAGACGCAGTTTGACAAAAACACTCTTCTAAAGGGGTTTATTATTGAGAACGTTGTGAGAACATTTCCTTACGAGAATGGAAGCAATTCACACTCAACATCCTAGTCATTTGTAATGCTATTTGATGGCTCAATGCCCCAGAAATCCCTGTGTTTTGGCACCCGTCCTTCTGAATCAAGGAGAATCCAGTGGGACTGAAACACAAATCTCCAAGAAGAAAGGGCACCAAGTACAACACTAACCGAAAACACACTGCAATGCAAGAGGAAAAATCCAAAACCTGCAGCCTTCCAGACTTGAATGATGACCCTCCTGTGATACTCTCTTGCACAAACCCTGCCAAACAAAATGCACTTCCTGTTTGCTTTAGTGCAGAAAATGCAAAAATATTTCCCCAAGAAATCAACAAAAACCAGGAATTAGTAAAGAAAGGTTTGCAATGTACATTTCCAGCTCACACACTGAAAGGTCGTCATCAAAATATATATGATAGTGAGTGAAACCAATCTCATTTTGTGCGTTGTCCAAGGATTTCATGGCTGGAATCACTGGGTTGCTGGGACTTTTCTAGGCTGTGTGACCTCACAACCTCTGATGATGCCTGCCACAGATGCAGGCGAAACATCAGGAGAGGATGCTTCTAGAATATGGCCATATAGCCCCCAAAAACTACAACAACCCAGTGTATGACTATGTTCCGGAAGCATTCTCTCCTGATGTTTCGCCCACATCTATGGCACCGGGATTGTGGCACAGCTGACTGAGTGTCAGCTGCATTAAGATCAATCTGACCAAAAGGTCATGAGTTCAAAGCCAGCCCGGATTGGAGTGGGTTTCCAACCAATTGTGTGTAGCCTGTTGTCGACCTTTGCAACCCGAAAGACAGTTGCATCTGTCAAGTAGAAAAATTAGGTACCACCTTAAAAAAGTGTGGGGAGGCTAAATTAACTGATTTATGAGGCCATAAAGAAGACTCCAGCAAAGCATTCCAGCGGGGAAGCATGCGGGGAATGCGGAAGGGCTTCATCAGCGTCGGAGATGACGATGAAAGCGACAATTCCCCTGGCGGCCAGAAAAAGGTTAAATAGCCTCTGTCTATGTCTGTATATGTTGTATGTCAAAACTGGCATTGAATGTTTGCCATATACGTGTACACCGTAATCCGCCCTGAGTCCCCTGCGGGGTGAGAAGGGCGGAATATAAATACTGTAAATAAATAATAAATAAATATGGCAGGCATCCACCGAGGTTGTGAGGTTGGTTGGAAACTAGGAAAATGGGGTTTATATATCTGTGGAATAATGTCCAGGGTGGGAGAAAGAACTCTTGTCTGTTGGAGGCAAGTATGAATGTTGTAATTAGCCACCTTGATTAGCACTGAATAGCCTTGCAGTTTCAAAGACTGGCTGCTTCACACTTGCCTCAAACAGACAAGAGTTCTTTGTCCCACTCTGGACCTTCCACAGATCTATAAACCTCACTTGCCTAGTTTCCAACAGACCTCACCATAGATGCAAGCAAAACGTCAGGAGAGAATGCTTCTGGAACATGGTCATACAGTCCAGAAAACTCACAGCAAACCCAGTGATTCCACCCATGAAAGCCTTTGACAACATACAAAATGTCACCGTGGCGTGTATTTACAGTACAACTGACAATAGTGGAATCCAAAAGCAGATACTGTCTCCCACCTTCACCAACTGGGTGCAATCCTCTAGGAAAGAGCTGAGCCATTGCAAAGCAATGCCCCCAAGACCCAGAAGGAGACCATGGTTGATGGTATCAAAAGCTGCTGAGATATCTAAGAGAACCAACATGGACACACTCCTACTGTCCAGCTCTCTGTGGAGGTCATCCACCAAGGCAACCAAAGCCATCTCCGTTTAATGACCAGGCTTAAAACCAGACGGCAAAGGATGAAGATAAGGAGACCATGCTTGATGGTATCAAAAGCCGCTGAGATATCTAAGAGAACCAACATGGACACACTCCTGCTGTCCAGCTCTCTGTGGAGGTCATCCACCAAGGCAACCAAAGCCATCTCCATACCGTGACCAGACCTAAAACCAGCCTACGATGGACGAGGATAGCTTCATCCAAGAATTCCTGGAGCTGAGAGGCCACCACATGCTCCAGAACCATGCCCAAAAAGGGGAGGTTGGAAATAGGAAATAGTATGACAGAAAATGCTTTTCACAATACATTTTGATCCATTTGTTGTAGAAGAGAGAGAGAGGGAGCGATGCAGATCTTCCTCTGAAAGAGCCTGTAACCTACAATGAGAAATTACAGCTTTTCCCTTCTCCTGGAAGAAGGAAGAAGACATTCATGAGACGGGTCCATTTGTCAGTGAATGCTACCTCCTAGTGGTCTGGGCCGCTCATAGCCACCCAAAGCAGTGCCGTGGCCACATGACCGCCGTAAGTAACATCAAGGTGCTAAGAGGATAAAACA